TGGAATCACGAGAACTTGTAAAATTCCTTATCTATAGATAAGGCTGAGAATAGCTTCATCTGACGAGTAAAAGTGCTCAGATTATACCTAGAGAAGGCAAAGGTTGATTTTATCATAATCTTTGCACAGTTTTCCTTTAAAAGATGACAGAATTTTGGTGACTAACAGATGATTTGGCAAGTTATCAGCCACCAAACTGGGAAAGTGATTGAAAGTACATGTGATAAGTGAAAAAGGCAGGTAGCATATAATAGATGTACACACTACACTTTGGGTCTAAATCCAGCATACACCAACAGAGTCTTAAATGGAATGTAAAGTGCAAAGTGAGTATGTGAAATTGTTTTGGCAGTGTCATTTCAATCTGTCGTGGATGTTATATCCTGGTAGGATTCTCTGATCAGAACAGCATGGAATCAAGTCCGCTTCTTAGCAGCAGACTCTGATGCACCCTTCTCAGATGAGCAATTAAACAGTCTGCTCATTAGGTGGGTGTATAATATCCCGAGGTGTGGTTTTAAAGACATGGATGGGAGGGTTTTGCTGCCGTCCTGGTCAATAGCTTAAGTGACTAAAACTTGGCTAAGGAGCAAGAACACAAGAAACAGGAGTAAGCCATTCAGTCATTCAACCCAGTTCTGCCATTCGATAACATCGTGGCTAATCCAATTGCAGCCTCAAATCTACGTTCCTGTTTGACCATCCATAACCCTCGATTTCCTGTTAATCAAAAATCCATTTCACTTAGCATTGAATTAACTCAATGACCCAATCTATATTGATCCCTGTGGTAGAGAATTCCAAATTTTACACAGAGGGATGAAATTCCTCCTTATCTTAAATGCAGAAATCTTATTTTTAAACTTTTCAGTCCTAAAATTTCGATATTTCTCCCATAAATAAAAAAATCTCCTCAGCTTCCACCTTATCAAGCCCCCTCAGAAACTCTTATCTTCTAAACTCCAGTAAGTATACACCCAATGTTCTCAACCTTTCTTCAATAAGCAACCCCTTCATCCCAGGAATTAACCTAACGAACCTTCTCGGAGCTGTTTTCAACAAAAAGATATTTTTCCTTAAGTGACAAACCAAAATTAGAGATAGTAAGAACTGCCGATGCTGGAGTCAGAGATAACAGTGTGGAGGTGGAGGAACACAGCAGACCAGGTAGCATCAGAGGAACAGGAAAGCTGACGTTTTGGGTCAGGATCCTTCTTCAGAAATGGGGGAGGGGTAGGGGGCTCTGAAATAAATAGAAAGAGGAGGGGCGGGGCTAGGGCAGGGAGGTAGGGTGGCAATAGGTGAGTGCAGGTAGGCAGTGGTGGGGATTGGTCAGTGAGGTGGGAGGAGCGGATAGGTGGGAGAGAAGACGGACAGGCCGAGGAGACGGGGATGAGAGAGAGGGTTGGTCATGGGATGAGGTCGGGGGTAGGGAGTTTTTGAAGCTAGTAAGGTCCACATTGAGACCATTGGTCTGTAGGCTCCCAAGGGGGAACATGAGGTGCTGCTCCTCCAGTTTCTGGGAATTTCCCTCCCCACCCCTATCTGCCTTCCAGAGGGAGCACTCTCTCCGCGACTCCCTTGTTCGTTCCACATTCCCCACTCGCCCCACCACCCCCGGCACCTATCCCTGCAACCGCAGGAAGTGCTACACCTGCCCCTATACCTCCCCCCTCACCTCCATCCCAGGCCCCAAGAAAACCTTCCACATCAGACAGAGGTTCACCTGCACATCCGTCGATGTGGCCTCCTCTACATCGGTGAGACCATGCGGAGGCTTGGAGACTGCTTTATAGAGCATCTGCGCTCGGTTTGCGACAAACGACAACACCTTCCAGTCGCGAACCACTTCAACTCCCCCTCCCACTCCCATTCCCATTCCCTGGATGACATGTCCATCCTGGGCCTCCTCCAGTTTCACAACGATGCCAACCGATGGCTGGAGGAACAGCACCTCATATTCTGCCCTGGGAACCTACAGCCTACAGGTCTCAATGTGGACTTTACTAGCTTCAAAATCTCCCCATCCTCGACCTCATTCCATGAACAACACCCGCACCCCCCCTTCATTGACCTGTCAGTCTTCTTTCCCACCTATCTGCTCCTCCCACCTCACTGACCAATCCCCACCACTGCCTACCTGCACTCACCTATCGCCACTCCACCTACCTTCCCCAGCCCTACTCCTCCTCTTTCTATTTATTACAGTGCCCCCTACCCCTCCCCCATTTCTGAAGAAGGGTCCCGACCCAAAACTTCAGCTTTCCTGTTCCTCTGATGCTACCTGGCCTGTTGTGCTCCTCCAGCTCCACATGGTTAGACTAAAATTATACACTTTCAGTAAACCACGTTATCACAACCCGAATGGGATTAGTGTGCTGGAAGTCAAGCCTCTCTATTCCGAGTCAAGTGTGAAATATGACCAGTTTAGTCTCTTGGACAGTTAATGCCTGGCTGTGAGCACGAAGATAAAGGAAAATCACACCAGGTTCCATCAATGAACATCAAATCAAAAACAATCATAATAAACTTGGTCTCTCACATTTGACAAAAACAGGTTATGAATTACTAATGCAAATTTAAACTATACATCCTTTAAAAATCCAAACATACACAAATTCATTCAGAGGACAGACAGGTGGTCAACGCATAGTCTTTTGAGGAACCTTGTGGGTGGAAAATATAGGCAAAACATGTCTATGGATCAAAATCTAAGCCAAAGTGGGTGGTATTAAGTAACTTTTCTCTCAGTTCTCTTTGTTGATTTTTGGCGATATCATGTCTTTCTCAATTTAATAACCGGTCAATTGCACCGAGATCTTAGCTTGATTTAGAAGTTTTCCTTTGGAAAATCTTTAAGTGTTATTTCTTTTCCATTTAAAGAGAGACAGTGTTTCACTTGCTGCAGGCTTTTTACAGGTATGTGTCTGAACTGTTTTCTCTCTTCATTGCCAAAACAACAACTTCAAACCAATTCAAACCCTTTTTCCACCACCGTTACCCACCTGCACCCCCCCCCCCCCCCACCCCGGCAAATCCCTGCAAGACATCTCGTGCCAGTACAAAGTATCAAATCCAGTGCCAGCAAAAGAACACCACACTGTTCCACTTTTGCTTCGAGCTATAACAAAATAAAACCAGTTCGTTCTCAACAAAGCAGTTCAAACTTGCATTTTTTCCCGTACCTTAGATTTCCAAATAAAATCATCACGCTGCTCACTCTGCTGATTGTATTGTAATATTCTAAAAGCTATTTAACAATGGATAGTCACAATGACAGATATTCCATCTCTCCCTCCTTTCTTGAGGAGTTGAGTCAATTTTGCAATTTTCAAATCTATTAGATACTGGAAAAAAAAATCTAAGGAATATTGGTAGATTACCCTAATGCATTCGCTATCTGTACTTGCATTTTCTTATGAACCTCGGGTGTAGACCATCAGGTCTAGACAAGTTGTCATGCTCGAGTCCCTTACATTGTTTTCTAATGACAGTGCTTGCATTAAATTCCTCTCTCCTTTTTGTCTCAATCTTAAATATGCTTGGGGTACTTCTTGTGTCTTCTAGTATGAAAACAGATTTTAAAAATCTTTCCATTTCCTTGTTTCTCATTATTAAACCACCGGTCTCATGCTCGGAAGAATGAATGCTTACTGTACTTATTCTTTTCCTCCTCCAATGCTTATTGAAGCATTTACTGTTTTGCTTTGCTTGTTTTCTCACATTCTCCAATTACTACCTCTCTAACAGATCACACTTAGTAAACTGGTTCCCCTATTTCTACTTCGTGGCAGTTACTGCACTTCAGAAGCTCTTCATTCACTACAAAGCATTTTGAGGGGGGGGAAAGGAGCATCCTGAGATCTTGAAAGATGTTGTGTGAACACAAAGATATTCTTTCCATTAATTTGGTACACTTCCTCAGAAAGTTATCAGGATATATTTGGGATGAAGATATTCTGTATAGAATTATTTTCTCCTATGCTGTTCTGGACTCCCTGATTTTTTTTCCCTCACAATCGTCCACAGGCGTTTTTCTTCATTTTTGTCTCTGGTTTGCATTGCCACAACTGGGAAAGGTTGTACATGAAGCTGCACAATTTAAGAAATACAGTAAGCATGTCTGACCTGATGATTATCGCATCATTTTCCATAATCTCGGTGCCTCTGACTGAGCATACTAAAAATGGAGAGCTTCTCAGCAAAATCTTCATTTAATCCAAACACAAATTCTCAACCCACAGATAAGCATTATTCTCGAGGCTGCATAAGACCGAATATCAGAGTTTGGTCAATGTAATGAGACAAATTAACCAATATGATCACCGGACCTCAGGAAACACTTCCTGGTTTGATTTAGATTTGCAAGGTCTGTAGAACTTAACTGGGGAAAATCTCAACTATGTTTAGAAGGGCAACACTCCTGTGGACAAAGCGAATCAATCAAACTTGTGATTAGCTAAACTCAAAACAGCCAAAACATGTTGGCTGCATTTTGACCATATGATTAACGAGCTTGAAGTGGTGTTACTTGATACGATGGAGATGCCAAGCAGAATATAAACAAGCTGCATTTTCCTATTGACATGCAGCTAGGTGCATTACAAAACCAGACAGCAAGATGCTTAATCGCTGTTCACACAGTGTCCATTTTCTCTGATCATTCACATGCTGACTTGAAGATTATGCATGCATGGAGATGACACAAGAATGTAATCACAACAATTCAAACAACGTCACATTAAGTTAGAAATTAAAATTTTATTTTATTCATAGAGAATTTTCTAATGTAATTTTACATTGAAGTTGCAAATCTAACAATTTTAAAACTATGAAGTCATTCTGTCTTCTCAAATATAGGAATAATTGAAAGATAAAAAATAGATAAGCCATGTTTAAAGTCTCAGTCCAGGTTTACAGTTTATGAAGAGCTGTATATAAAGCAGAAGCAGGTTTTTAAATATATTTCCAGTATCACTTTGAAGTTACATTCATAAGCTATCCAGGGCAGCCTAATACTTGGGCACATCTCAGATAATCCAGTTAAGTTTATGATTCTTCCATCAGAAACAATCCTAAGGAATACTTTTGAACAGTATATTCTCACCTCAATGTGCCAAGCTGCAGTTTTGTCCAAAAATGTACAATACAATACAAAACATATTGACAAGTTAACAGCCCCAGAAAGAAAGCCACAGGGGCAAAGCAGGATCGGCAGTGGATGAAAATTACTCATTTGCAATAAAATCCACTGGTCTGTCACAAACAAAAAATATATTGGCATGTCTCTTACATTCTGAGTAAGGCACTTTGGAAAAACTTCTTGGAAAAAACTTCTTTAGCAGTACTTCATTTTGTAAGTTTACGTACTAATAATTCAACATTAGTGTATTTATCACTGTCATCCCCGTCCCCTATGTAATGAATCTGTTCAGCTTTCCACCATAGGCTAATGAGATGTGATTAATCTCTCTCTTTTGGCTGCATCTTCTCCCGATGCTGTTCTGTAAGAAGCTGCAAGGAAGTGTCTTAGGTAAGAGGGGCAAGATCAACCCATCTGTGTTGCACATACACAACATAACCCTGTACAATACACCTGGAATGGTTTCAATTCACTGTAATTCCCCAAAAGCAAGATGCACATTAACCTACAGCATTTCACCCATACTGCTGAGCAAGGTGGAGATATCTGGTGTATCATACTCGGGTAGAGTCTGCCTGTTGTGAGCAGAGCAATGCAGTGCTCATCAATATGGCCTCATCATTCAAGTTTTGCTGAAAGTTCTCCTGAAGGATCATGTGTAGCTGTGAGAGTGGCACAGAGCCCAAGCAGTGGGAAGTAAAATTTGGCAGCTCTGCAATCCACCAAGTTTCTGCTCATTGCATTTTTGATAAGGTTTCAAAAGTGCAATTAAAATAGATGGGAGGAAAATGAAATGAGTCAATTTCTTTAAGGTATTAACATTAAGTGAGATATAGGTACAATATGTAAGGCTATAGTTTGACATGTGGACAATTAGTCTCAACACAACCACGACTTTTTCACACACTGCCATCTATATTAAAAAAAACATAAATGGAAAACAAACAGAAAAATGTAGTTTTAAAGCTGATAGTGACAGATCCTTGTGACAGGACTGAGTGGAAACTTGTGGAGATGGCAGAGTCTCAGCTGTTGGCTGCAGGGTCTTAAACCCCACATCAGCTCTTTTCGGAAACAGCAGTCCTGTACCGAGTCACTCAGCTACTTTACCAGTCTCCACCTTTGGATCAAGGGCCCTGCGCTTGCATGTCCCACCCAGCAAAAGCTCTTCAACACTAACTGGAATGCTAGTGGCTGCTGTGGGTATGCCATCCATCCAAGGTCTCAGATTGAAGAGGGACCCCTGGCATGTGATGGTGGGGATGGTGTCAGTGGCCAGGGCAAGGTGAGTGAAATTCAACCTCCTTAACCAATGCTGTGTCCCTCAGACGTTGGAGTGCCATTGAATGAAAGTACACTGTCCCCACATCAAGAACTGGATCACAGTGCCAAGGATCAGTGATAAAATAGTTCAATATTTTGAAGCCTTCAAGCTCCTTTGAGTAGGGAAACTTACTCGAATTAACAGCATCCAAAGGTTAGTTCACCAACACCTCAAACTGGAAGCCTGGCAAACAACCGTCCCAATAAAGCAGAGACATATAGCTGAGCAGCAAGCAGAGTAGCACAGCTAACTTGACAAAACAAAGAGGGCAACACAGACTAGATGATGATTCAGGAGGATGTCATGCTGCGTTACTGAAAACCCTGTAGGCAGGTACAATTAAATTTCAAATACAACAGCAAGACGAGTTCTAACAGATCTTAACTTGGGTACAAAGGAGTTTTATCATTAGCCGTGTTCAATGTAACTGTCACAATAACAATGTTCTTATCAAATTTCGAACTGGAGGGTTTAGCTTCAATGCTCGTTGCACTATGAAAATAACATTATAACTGTTACTAACCCAATCCTTTAATTTTCATCCTACAAAAAGTACAATTCTTTTCCCTCATAATCAACCAAGAGGGGAAATTTAGAGATGTGCCAATGGATGAAATAACTGACATCTCCATTAGCAATAGTAAAAGTTTAAATAACTGAATTCAGGTGACATACAAGTCAGATGGATTCTGTAGGAGGATCATGAATCCACCTAACAGGAGGAAAGGCTGATATAAATATTATTTCGTTGTCCAAGAGATTTAGCTGTACTGTGGTTTCGTTTCTTGGACCTCCAACATCTGCATTTTGAGAGACTTTCATTGTTTTCAATGACCCAGTTTCCACTGCTCTCTACAGTACAGATTTCCAAAAACTAACAACCATCTGAATAAATCCCTCCTCATCTCTATTCTAAAATGGAGAAGTCCTTGTCCTGAAACTCTGCCCCTAGTTATAGGATTTCCCAAATTACATGCTAATATTAAAACATTATTTTCTCTATGCAAGAAAAGGGATAATTTGGCAATGCAAGTTATAGTAGTGAAAAAAAAGTACCTCCTAAGGGAAAACTTTCCACATAGGACACTGCACGCATGCTTGAGATAAGATTGCCAAGATGGCTGTAAACTGTTTACTTTTGCTCTTCATAGGATCTCAATATTTTTGTTTTACAAATATGTATATGTTTTGTTTATTGTTCCCATTATCTTCAACAGCTTATCCCTCTTTCATTTTGTGACTGACATTTTGACAATAGACTGTTGATAAATATTAAATCAATGCCAGAGTCAATGAGGTCCAGCCTCATGTCAACCACAACTGCCATAAAGTTATTTTTGATTTTTGGTAGTCTACTTTTCAGTTGAGACCAGCAGACAGTTAAAAAGGGCTTTGTTCAATTTTCAGTTAAATGGCAGATTTGGTTGCTGTCCAAGGACAGTAACAGTGAAAAATTCAATGAGCCACCCACCAGCAGGCTCATTCTTCACTTCAAAACTCACAACTAGCATTCATACAGCCCCCACACCACCAACCTCTCTAACTTGCACACTATAACAGGTTCTGGTTCATTGCTTTGTATGGAATATTACAAACATCTGAGCAATGTGGGTTTAAAAGAGAGCTGCAGTGCCAAGATGCCAGCTTCTTTGTAGAATGGAGACATTCCATTCACTGGGGGAATAATTTCCAGATCAACATGTAAAACAAAAAAAAAAAAACAAAGTGGCCAGCATCTGTGGAGCAGGACACAGAGTCAGTGTTTCAGGTCTGTGACCTTTTGGTCCAGTTTTGGTGAAAGGTTGCAGATCCAAACCTTTAATTGTGAGGAACAAGAGCCTGATGTTCAAATAGTTGTTTGGTCATACAGAACTCGTGTACAGCTGAAACAAAAAAAGAGTCTTATTTTTGTCAAAGCTCTACATTTTGCACTCATTGGGACAATCTCAAAATTGTGCCTTTCATTCGTATGAGCAATAGTCAAGTCTGAAGTTCCTTAGTTCGTTTTTCCTCCCATGCCACCCCTTGTTGAAAATCTATTACATTTCTAGCTTTTCCCAGTTCTGATGAAAGGTCATCGACCTGAAATGTTAACCCCATTCTTCTCTCTCTACATATGCTGCCAGACCTGCCAAGCATTGTCAATTTTTCTCCTTTATTTGCATTTCAGGCATTTAACTTTTATAAGAAATTTTCATAAATAGCAAGCCCCATTTTTAACAAAGTAACATTGTTCACTTCTGCCCTTAAATTTGGACAATCTCTCATCTTGCAGCCAGGAACGAAAATGATTTGAGCAGTGTCAACATCTGGCTTATTGCTCGTTTCACAGGCAAGTGAAACATCAGGAATTATTAAAGTGCCAGCACTCTGGATTCTCAGGCAGGATTCATCGTTTACTACATTACAGTTAAGATTTTTCTTCCAGTCAAAAGGGAGAGCTAAACTGTAAATTCATTGCAGTCTCCAGTTATCCCTCGCAATTAATTTCGGCATCTATTTTATATGAAAAGGTTTGCATTCATGACGTCTATTCCTACTAACAAAAATTAATCAAGCAGCTTCAGTGGCAACCATCCGAGGATCTGCATTGATATACAAGTACACAGTGATTTGAAAGACTACTTGTTCCCAGGACAAATCTGCCAGCGAGCAGATTAAAGACATTTCCACTTAACTGAGGGCTGTCAGTAACTGGAGACAACATTACTATGGTTATATAGCCTCTAGATGGCAGGGACACTTGCTTCATTCAGTTCTTCAGAAGCAAGTTCTATGGGTGTTCCAAGTTTAAGAAACTGTTTAGCTTTGAGCTCTGAGCTGTCAGACCCTGCCTTTTGAAAACAGCCTAGAATGATAGGCAAACTGCATAACACAACTATACGTACTTGAAATCCAGTGTCACATTCAGAATTACACAGGACAGCAAAAACAGACGGGATGTTACTTTTTTTTTTGAGATTTACGAGAAGCAGTGGGGTTTGTTCCAAGCCACCCGAAAGGAGTGCAACACGCTGCTGTAACACAGTGGGCTAATGTCAAGAGTGTATGCAGTGGATCAGACTTAAAAATTCACAAACTCACTTCAAAACCAAAAATTGTCATTATTGAGCAAACATACATAAGTTTAAAATCTTCAGATTTATCAGATAGGAATTACCAAAAATACCTGTCAATAAAGCTTGAGATGCAAGGGTCAATGGGCTGAAGGGTGGCAGGTGGAGTCTAATTTGGATAAATGTGAATTGCTGCATTTTGGTAAAACAAGCTAGGACAGGGCTTATACAATTAATGGTAGGGCCCTGAGTAATGTTATAGAACAGAGACACCTAGGGGCTCAGGTGCATAATTCTTTGAAATTTGCATCATAGGTCGACAAGGTGGTTAAGAAGCTGTTTAGCACGCTTGTCTTCATTGCTCAGACCTTCGAGCAAAGGAGCTGGGATGTCTTACTGAGGTTGTACAAGACGTTGGTGAGGCCTCTACTGAAGTACTGTGTGCAGTTCTGGTCACCTGTTATAGGAAGGTTTTTATTTAACTGCAGAGGGTTCAGAAAAGATTTACTAGGATGTTGCCGGGAATGGAAGGTTATAGATATAAAAATACATTGGAAAGACTGGGACTTTTTCCACTGGAGCGTAGGAGAATGAGGGGTGACCTTATTGAGGTTTATAAAATCATGTGAGGTACATATCAAGGTGAATGGCAAGGGTCTTTTCCCTAGGGAAGCGGTGTTCAAAACTAGGGGGCATATTCTTAAGGAGAAAGATTTTAAAAAATCAAGAGCGGCAACTTTTTTTTTTTTTTTTTTACACAGATAGTGGTTTGTGTGTGGAATGAATTTCCAGAGGAATTGGTGGATGCAAGTACAGTTACAACATTTGGATAAGTTCATGAGTAGGAAAGGTTGGAAGGATATGGGCTAAACGCAGACGGTTGGGACTGGTTTAGTTTGGGAACATGGTCAGCTTGGACCAAGGGGTCTGTTTCCATGCTGTATGGCTCTCCGCACTAACAACGAATTTGGGAGTTACAACTATTACTGGGTAAATGGACAGTGTATTGTTCACCACTGTTGTGTGAGGTCAATTACAAATGGCTGAAGCTACTGTCTGCAACTTATCCAGGACCAGTCACTATCATTAAGCACCTGGGATCTCTTCTGTTATGATATTGTCACTCCTCAATAAAGGCTCATTGCAATACTTCGCAGCAATGGTGCCAGAAAAGTTTGAATTGGCACCTTCCATCATTTCTCATACTGAAGCTTTCAAGACAGCCCCAAATTCAGCTGTCACATTCAGTATTTCCCTGAAACTACCTCAACGGGCTGAGTAAATAGACATATGCTTCATTATCAGCACTTCATAAACAGGGCAAGATAAAACAAGGCTTATCTGCAAAAGTCTATACTTGAGGCATCAGCACTGAATGAAACTGACCTAAAATCAGGTTTGTCCCTCTACTGCACTGAAGTGGCCGAGTTTAAAAATGGAACCTTTCCTAAAAGGTCCGGCTGTAAAGTGATTTGCAGTATTAACCAATATCATCTCATCAGCTCTCAGATTACGATTTTCAGAACTTCACCCTGTTAAGAAATTACAGAAGATCAAGAAAGTTACACTTCTTCAATTGTGCATGTTATTTATATGTGCAAAATGATGCAGAGTCAGGAAGAATGCTAAAAGGACAGGCATGCACACATTCTGCACACAGGGTAATTTTTCTGACCTTAACTTTTAGAAAATGTCAACTATGCCAACACTTCAGTGTAACTTTTCATTGTTTGGACTAAGTTTTTTTCAATGCCAATTGAGGCCTGATTGTGTCTCTTGATGTTTCAAACAGTGCAGTTTCACAAATGCCTAACGTCTCCCAAAGGGCTCTTTCCCTTCATTCCAATGAACAACTCTAATAATGATTTAACCTGACTGTATTCCTATTCAAAGTTCCTCCCACTGCTCGTGGACAGTAGCCACATAACTGAGAGAAGAATGAGTGCATGGGTAACCTCTCAGATCAAACAAATTTTCAGTAAACCCACAGCAACAGATACTACTGCACAATTATCAGCCTCTCTTCTTGCCCTGATAACATCACCTCGGTTTTAAAAGTGCAGGGACGCAGTTGAGAAGCAGACATATCCTTCCATAACTCCACTGGCAACTTCACCATAGAGCGAGATATTGTGCCTACACCTCTTCTGTGAAGTCTGGAAGGATTTCCACTTTGAAATCACATGATAAATGTAGGTTGTGGCTGTTGTTTAGGGTGATGAATAACTACATTGCTGCTACGAGGAGCTTGTGCTGCAGGGCATCATTTACAAAACAAGATTAATCACCAAAGCAGGTCATCACAATGCACTGCCAAGGGGGAAGCAAGAGAAGGCTTTAAATGTGCAAGCAGCGCATCTACTTTTGTGACTTATGACAATGCAAGACGACGTATAGTCTGCCCATTTTGTTGTGCTCAAGACTCTGAAATGAACCCACCATGATCTGGGGGCATTTTAACGGAACGTTTATTTCCGATTCAGTTCACGAGAATTCAGTCCCGTGGAGTTAACTTTCCATTCCACAGTTCACAATGTCACACTGCAGCGCATACCCCAGGATTCGAGGCTTACCCTCCCTCTCTTTGTACTTCTGCTACTGGCTAATTGAGGCAATGCCTCAATGACCAACTACATGTGAAGCTTTCCTGTCCCTAATTTTTAAACGTGTCTCTGTCAAGCAAAATATTGGAGGTCAGGAGATTAAAAAAAAAAGTTGGTCACCAGAACTTTTTTTAAAATAGAAAATTTTAAATGATAAATTAATAAATAAATCCTTCTGCTCATTGTGCTGGTGCCATCTTCATCTCTTCACAGCCCTACAAGTTTAGCACTTGCTAATGGTCTCACCCATAACTGCAGTGATCACATACCTATAAAAGTTCAAGCCTAAGGGACTGGCTTGAAGCAGTGAAACGACACATGCCGGTTTCCACTGAATGAATTTTCCCTATCTGTAGTCATCAGCCAGCTCAAGACATGCTTTACACAAGGAGTGAAGGCTTTGACAAACAATGAATTGACAGGGTAGCATACAGTTACCATCAGAGCATTCACAGCCTGCTTTAGAAGCGGAAAGCTCTCACGTGCCAGACTGCTCAGGTACCCAGAAAACAGGCTGATGGTGGACTACAGGGGCAGACATGAGGAATAGGAGTGGGAAGGTCTCTGCAATTCCTATCCAGTCAGGACAGTGCAGAAACGAGGAGTTTATGTAGAGTTACTCAGACATATTAGTCAGACGTTTGCTGCAACAGCACTGTGTCACGCTCTGGGGAGATTTTAGAAGTCTAAAGTATCAAACTGTAGGGAAACTCATTAATATTTTATACCTTTCAGTTATTACGCACCAGCACGTGATTTAGCAAATACGGTTAAGTGGTTTATATTGTATAGAAAATAGATCTTGTATACCCAAATCTACAGGCTTTACCATCCTTCCCCAGAATTAATGAATGGTCTCTTCTGCCATCCATTCAATTTGTCTCTAATTCAAAATGCTAAATCGATTCAGTTCTTTCGCTGGGATGGAGGAATGAGGTGCCCTGGCAATTCCCCAGGCAAATCATATCCTTCCAGCTTTATCTTAATCAGGTGACAGGCCAGAGCGAATTCCTCATCGTCCAGCATTCCATCACGATCGTAGTCAGCCAGTTTCCAGATCTTCCCCAACACAGTGTTTGGCAATTTAGACTTCACCATTTCTTTCTTTGCATTGTTGCCACTGATTTTGCCATTAATTGGAGAGAGCATGTAGAAAATTTCATCATACTTTGACTTCTCCCTTGCTACAATCCACTCACTGTCATCTATGCCTGCTCCAGCGCCTTCACCATACCCTTCGTTAAAGGGCCCGTTTAGGTTGCCATCAAATGCGCCACCGGTCACAGCCTGTGCCGGCTTGCTTGCTTCTTCTTGTCGGATCAGGTTCATCAGCTCAGCGATGTGGTTGGCCAACATTTCATCCACGGACTCTAGCATCTTGGGTTTCAGGGTATGAAACTTGCTGAAGTCACAGGACAGCAGCATTTCCTGCCGAAGTAGAGAAGAAAGTCGAAAATTGAACAGCAGCAAAAATTACATCAGTCCCCAGCACCATCCTTTCTCCGGTCAATGCACTACAGAATTTCATGCCCAGTTACCAGTGTGCAGATCTCCAACTGTCATCTACTCAGTAAACCACTGAATAGTTCTAAGGAGAGTCACTTTTAATTGCTGTTGTAAAGGAAAATTTTAAATAGAGAAAGAGAAACAGGAGCTGATCGGAATAGATGAGAGATGGAAGATGATTCATGAATGACAGAATGAATCATTGGGGCCAAATAGACTGTTGGTGGTGGAAATCTAATGTATTCTACACATAAATGACTGGTCTTGGCCTTTAGTAGGTGTGAGTTTACATAACAGGCTTACACCATTACACTCTTCTCTCAGGCAATACATTAGCACCTCCGCAGAATTATGCACACTGGTACTACCACAATGGTTCCTACCTCTCACTTTTCTACCAATGAGATATCTAATCTAAGATGTACTTTTAAAACATTTCCAGGACTCACATTTCACTCTCGGTCGCTAAGTTTTGCCACAAGGTCGATATATTGATACGACTTGTGATCTTCACTTAACATCTGCTCAGTAGTACCGAACTTGAATCTCGCTGAAAATAGAGACACCCTGCTGAAGCATCTAACCTTTGCGCTCACCAGGACAAATGCAAAAAATGCCAGTTTCAAATGGTCACAACAATTTATACTGCTGAGAAAAGGGTGCCATTTGTTAGTAAGTCAGCTTTGGTTTCTTTTTAAGTAATTCACTGACATGAGCATTGTCAGCTGGTCCTGCATTTAACGTCCATCCCGAATTGCTCTGGAGAGGTTAGTGGTGAGTTATTTTTTCCAACTGTTGCAATCCTTAAGAGTGCAGGCTGTTAGGAAGGAAGGAATTTTGGCCTAACAACAGTGAAGGTAAGGTGATTTTGGTTCTGAGTCAGGATTGCGTGGGGCTTGGAGCGGAGCTTGCAAATGGCAACATTCCCACGTATCTACAAATTGTCCTTTTAGGCAGTTGAGGTTATTGGTTTGGAAGGTGCTGTTCGAGGAGCTTTGGTATGTTGCTGTGGGGCACCTTGCAGATGGCAGCACAAGACCATAAGATGTGGAAGCTGAAGTAGGTCATTCAGCCCATCGAATCTGCCCTGCCTTTCATTAATATTATGGCTGATCTCAATCTTCAACTTCACTTTCCTGCCTTTTCCCCATAACCCTTGATTCCCTTTACTGATTAAAAATCTATCTTCAACATATTTACTGACCCAGCCTCAATAGCCCTCTTTGGTAAACAATTCCATAGAATCACTACAGTTTGTGAAAAGGAGTTCCTCTTTATCTGCCTTAATTGGCAACTCCTTACACTGAGACTATGCTCTCTAGTCCTAGACACTTCCACTGGGGAAACAACATTGTCACATTTACCATGTCAAGCCCTAAAAATCTGGTATGTTTTTATAAGGTATTCTCTCATTCTCCTAGACGCCAGTGAGTACAGGCCCAATCTACCAGGCCTTTGAAGGTAATAGGGAAGGCAAATGGAAAGTTGGCCTTTAATTGAAATGGAATAGAATATAAAATAGGGAAGTCTTGCCAAAACTATACAAGGCACTGGTTAGACCACTCATTACAAGTTTCCATCCTGAAGATGCCCCTTCATCTCAACTCTCTGGCCTCTGTTAGTTAGCTAACACTATCCACATTAATACACTATCCCTAATATCATGGGCATTTATCTCATTAAGCAGCTTTATATGCAGCCCCTTATCAAATGTCTTTTGGATTTCCAAACCTATTACATCCTCTGGTTTCCCTTTATCTATTCTGCCTGTTACCTTCTCTCAGAACTGGTTTAAATTGGTCAGGTATGGTACCTTGTTCATGAAGCCACACTGACGCTGCTTGATTATATTAAGAGTTTCTAAATGCTCTATTGACTTTTCTTATAGAGTCTAAAATGTTCCCGACAACGATGTTAATCCGATTAGCTTATGGTTACTCGAATGTCAGTACATACTGGTGCTCCTGTGCATCAGTGGTAAAGGCGAAAATGTTGAAGATTGTGGATGAGGTGTCAAACAAGCAATCAAGATTGGTCAAGGTGTTGCCATGGAAAAAGCAACAGGAAACAATAAGCTCCTCAGACTCTCCAGTTATTCAAAAAAGTTGCAAAGTTCAAAGCATATTCCTTTGGTTTGCACAGAATGTGCTCAAAATGTGATTTTTGCTTATGCTTGATATAAATGGCATACACATTCATACACAGGGAACATGTGATGAGAGGGTGAATAAACTGGGCCTATATTCTCTGGAAGAATCACTTAGAAATATATAAAATTCTGATGGGATTTAATGGGACAAATGCCGAGAAACTATTGCTGCTGGTCAGGGAATTCTAAACTCAGGGCAAAGTCACAGCTTAGGAAGCCAAGATGAGGAGAAATGACTTCAGCCAGAGTGCAATTTGGAATCTCTGGTTCCATTAGTGAACATATTTAAGGTCAAACAGATATGGCTTTGTGGATTTAGGGAGAGAATGGGAAACTGGAGTTGTGGCACAGGCTCAGATGCCACAGTCTACTCCTGTTCTTATTTCTGGTGTTGTTGCATCTGGTGGTGTTGTTACATCTTCAAAGAACTTGTTCATTGAACACCATGTCAACTTTGGTTTGATTTTCTAAAATGATTGTCTGCTACATTCTTAATAATGGAGGGGGTAATGCATAGCAAGTTGGGTTGAATGTTGGGTAGGCCTGGGGAAGTGAATGAAGTTACATGAATGATTGAGTAGGTGACCCAGTTGAGGGGTTTGGGG